CTGTACACATGACAATAGCCTTTGTTAGCATAATGTATTATAATGCATTATGTAGTGGGTCTCTGAGGTTTAGTAATCCCTGTCAGCAACCAGAATAAATGGAGATGGAGCTTCCAGGAGATGCAGGGCCTATGAAAAGACTTAGTTTTCAAGAACTACTAGCATTCAAACTCACACATGCAACATCTGAAACAAAATCTCATGAAGAGTCTTTCATCACAGTCATTTGTGAAAGTCAAGTGTACTTGAGAAAAGATATTAAAGAGAAGTTGAACTGCGCACTAGGAGTTTGATACTCTTCCTACTGAAACAAAGATTTGGTGCATTCTCTCAGGCTTGTCGACAGCAGAATTTTTTGATGCGTAACCTTTTAATATGCCTACTCACTGAATTTGCTAGCCAAGAACAGCAAGGTTCCACCTGGAAGTGAGCACACCTGCTTATGGAGAGTGTCTAAGCCACAAGTGAGAGGCGGTTTGAACCTTTTTTTGATGTACAACTGAATGGAAAAATGTCACTGATGTTAGATACGTCGTATGCACAACGTGATGCTGCATGGGACGAAGGTGAACCACAGTTACTGATCTCCTGGAGCTGTAACTGCCAGCAGCAGAGACCATGCAACCAGGGAAGAGCATCTCTTACTCTGCATTTGCCCTGCTCTTTGTGCCTTTTCCTCGGGCAACCCCCAGTGGCCTTTAGCAGGGAGACGGTACTAATGTAGCTGGAGCTTTGGTCTGATCGGGTACAGCTGTGCTGATTTCCTGGTGGTACTGTGAATTATTGACATATTTAGTCAAGTCTTTCAAATTTTCCTCCTGCAGATCACTTAAAGGCACATTATCCAATAACACTACCCTTCAGATCAGTTCAAAATATTCAAACCCTTCCAGAAATGCTTAGGCTACTGTTGTTTATACACAGATAACATCGCCATAATAAATACTACTGTATTCAGGCCTGTATATTCTCTGTAGTGTTCCACTCTTTCATGTAGTGTTCCTCTCTGTTTACGTCTTCATCTTTCCCTTCATTTTTAAAGCAATCACCATTGTTCGGTTGAAGTTCCGGTTAAATGATCAAATTCTTTAACAAAACTATCCTTTAATATCGTGCTGCACTCGTAAGATAATAGAAAATCAAATCAACTCTGTTTCTAGAATTCCACAAGAAAAAAATCCCTACTCCCAAAGCATTAAAATGCTTCAGCCTATGCAGAGTTGCCAAGTACAATATCCATTACTGTAGAAAGCCATCGCAGCCAACTGCAGTTGGAACACGAAGCTGCAATGCCATTATGCATGTACCTTGCTAGCCTGGGCAGAAGCTTTCACTGTTTCATCTTCACCTCTTGATTAGATTAAATGAAGGTATAACTGTAACCCTACCCAAGCTTGCTTATTCTATTTTTAACCTTGCAGACACACAGAAGGATGTAAGGGGGAGGGGAAACAAGCAGTGTTTAACTAAGAGAAAGATAGGAGACATACTGTAGGTAAATCTATTTCCTAAAAATCTTTCCTGATCTGAGCCCCAGGATGTTAGTGCTGTTTACTCCGGCAGATCCCATCTCTAATTGTGTGTGCCACGCTCCCTGCTTCACTGGACTCCTTGCATTATTTAATCTGCTACCATCTTCTCTGTTCTCCTTTCTGATCAATCTTCGTCCTTGTCGTGGTTTGAGCCTGGTCGGCAGCCAACCACCCCGCAGCCGCTCACCCACCCTCCTCCCCTACCTGGGAATGGGGGAGGGAATTGGAGGGGTAAAGGGAGACTTGCAGGTTGAGATAGAAACAGTTTAATAATGGTAATAAAATGAAAACAATGACAGCAATAGAAAATACAAACAGGCAAGGCACAATGTAATTGCTCACCACCCGTTGACCAATGCCCAGCCCGTTCCCGGCCAGCGACCCCGAAATACCAAGATCCTGCAATTGCAATCCTGGAAGCAAGAGAGGGAGGGAGAGAGCCCCTTCCCTACCACCCCTCCTCTATATAACAAGCATGACGTGCCATGATATGAAATATTTCACTGGCCAGTTTGGGTCTGGTGCTGTGGCCGTGCTCCCTCCCTGTTTCTTGCGCACGGGCAGGACATGGGGAGTTGGAGAGCCCTTGAAATCTCAGCAGCAGCTGAAAACATCAGTGTGGTATCAGCATTCTTCCCATACCAAACCCCATGCTGAATCCAAAACACAGCACTAGTCTAGTTCCCAAAAAGAAACATTAACTTTATTCCAGCCCAAACCAGGACAATCCTTTACCAAGGCGATCACAAAAAAAGCTAAGACTTCATCCTCTTTTAGGTATACCTCATCTGTAATAAAATCAGTAGCCAAAATACCTTCCTTCCTTTGCATGTTTAGTGTTAGTGTTTTCCTGAAGTAGAGCTGAGTTTTTTCCCCTGCATTTTGAATTTGTCTTTGAAATAGTATGGAAACTTCCTAAGCTGCAAGTGCTCTAGAAGTTAAATTGCAGAGGGCTTGCACGATGCAAAGCATTAATTTCTTTTCCTGAGCCTTTGTTCCCTGGGGTTGATGAGAATATCATCTGCTGGTAAAGTGACAGAGAGGAATCTCTTAGCGAAGTGAAACTAGTTATTAATATTGCAGCGAAAAAGATAGAAACGTGCTGAGACAGAAATAGAAGGTCCTTCTGCTGCCATGCCTCACCTCCTCAAACTGCTTGTTCTCGAGCTCAGCAGTCACTGCTGTCTTTACCCACCAGCTGCTATATAAGAAGTGCTCTTTGAAGCCATTTATCAGCACTGACTCTGCTAATGGGAGGGTGGGGAAGATTGCAGTTTGCAACAGCTGAGGAGGAATGACTGCGTACCACCTGGGTATAAGTCAGTCCCCCTGCTTTGCAAACTGACCTTTTTCCTGTAGGAGCTGGATGGAGAGCGTGTCTGTTCTTACTAAGGTTAGAAACAAACTTTAAAGAGAATAGGATTGTGAGCAGTGCTTTTGGTCGCTTATTTGCTTGCCTGTCTGTCTAACCATGTTAGAATACTCTTTCAGATGCCTGTTGAAGGAAAGACTGGTCTATTTGCCTGTTCCTAGCAGGGGGAAGGCTCTGCTGTTAGCGTAGATGTATGGAATCTTGCAGCAGCAGTAACTGTGCCGCTCAGTAGGATGCTAATGGCATTGTGCAGCACAAGCAGCGGAAAGGTCTTTGCTTTCATGAAAATAGCAAATTATAATTGAAGAGTGGGCTTCTTTGCATCTTATTTTGTTCATTGGACTTTGAAGAAAGATTCAACGAAACACGACCTTTATGGTTGCTTTACAGGCCATCGGCGGTAAGAGTACGAATCACTGCAGTCTGCCTGGTGGTGTCTGCACCAAGAAGTTGCTCTGTCTCACTGTACAGTTATTTTTTTAATGACCAGATTCTTAACCGTGTAACCTTCTGTGTTCTGGATTGTCCCCTCTGCTTCAGCTGTACCCTGTACCAGTAGTTTGGCAGGGAAAGAGAAGTGCTGGCTAAAGCAGACAAAAAAATCCATGCTCGGTTCATTTGTCTTTTGCTCTTCCCTTCCACTACTTACTATTCTCTGCATAGGTGATGGGTATATACTGCAAGGCAGCATCAAATTAGTCAAATAAAACATTCAATTGTGAAAAATAAATAGTGGTTCCTACCCTAAGAAGTGGAGAAGAAAACTGAAGATGAGTTTTTCTGGAGGAAGGTGAAATGTTTTGTTCACCGCACAGGCGGTCAGAGCACAAGACCCCCCACAGGTCACAGATCTTGGGACACTTCTGTGTCTGGGTACTCGTAGGCTAAACAGAAAGAACAATCTCTGGCACACAACCAGAGAACGAGAGTGAAATCCCAGCTGTCTTGGAGGTAGTAGGGCTTCAAAGACTAGCTTTAAAAGCCATGTAAGGATGTGACAGCTGGATAAAAAGAGAGGAACTAGATGCTATGATACTAGCTTGTAGGCTAAATTATAAGAGAGTGGTTGTAGAGTCTTACAGAGCCATCAGATCGTACAGCCAGTGTGCGTGGTTTACCTGATACACTGGTTAATCTGACATGAGGAATGCCAGAGCATTTAGGGTACCAAGTTTTGCCCCGTTCAGTCAGCTCTCTTAACACCTACCGTACTGAGAGAATAACAAGAAGAAAAAACTTTTTGCATCACAAAACCAAGCTAAGTAACGAAGTTGTTGTACTTGAAAGGATGTCAGGTACACCTTCTGATGGGAAGGGTCCTGTAAGGGTCGTTAGCACTGTTCTTTAGTGGGTGCCTTGAGCCAAAGCTGGGCCGGCCAGCTGCCGACAGCTGCCTTAGCTCGCACTGAAGCCTTGCCTCAGTACTGACAAAGAAATTAAACAGCAGGTACTACGGCTGCACCGTTTGTTGCAGGTTTTTTTATGGACGTTTTCCTTTCACGTACGGACTAAACAGCACACTTGTTAATAAAAATAGCAAGACTTCGTGGATTTGTGGCCCGAGGGCACCCTGTCTGCAGGACTATGATGAACACCTTTGCCTTGCTGTCAGGCATACTGCATACCAACCGTACGAGTACCGGCAGCGTATTTAAACCCTTGGTCTTAGACTTAGGTCAGATCTCTGTCTCTTGGAGTACTTCAAACCTTTAGTTACTAAAACATTTGATAATCTCTTCAGGAATATGTGTGTCTTAACCAGAGCAAGTACTGTGAAAAATCAAGTTTCTGGCTGGTTTTGTAACAATTAGACCATTCAAGTACAACCATTTGCAGGCACCGTAAAAATTCTTTCTATATGTGTCAGTCCTGGTATGTGAAGAACATGAAGCTTCTGAAGTTAACGTGCCTCTCTTACATACACTTATGTACTCTGTGTATTTGAATGCAAGCTAAGTATAAATATACTGTATGCATATTTATCATCAGTAGAGTTATCTACCCATCAGCAAACAAATGTTTTAGACCAGGAGGGCCTATCTTTTGTTGTGCTTACTTTCTGAAATCTAAATGTTTCTTAATTTTGTTCTCCTTAGCTCTGTTTTGTGATGTTTTGGACGCCAAACGTGTCAGAGAAGATACTAGTCGACATAATTGGAGTAGACTTCGCTTTTGCAGAGCTGTGTGTTGTTCCTTTGCGCATCTTCTCCTTCTTTCCAGTTCCAGGTAAAAAGCAAGAAAAAAAAAGCTCTGTAACCTCAAAACCAAACCAGCTGTGAGGTGTGGTCATAGAGTCAGGCCTGGCTGTACATACAAGAGTGGCTAAATGCATGCCTAGCTTAAGTAACACTGTTTTTATTGAAGCTGGTGTAGACCAAGACTATTTATATTAGCAGTTAGTCAAGGTACAAATGTTGCACTAAGAGCTGTCTGTCATTAGGCGGGTTTCTGACTGTCGAAAGTAAAGCCTGAATTCCCTTTGTTGTAGTTGACCAAGAACACACACATGAATGGCAGGCCCGATACATGTGCACCAAGACTGAAATTAACTGTTTGGAATAGCATCTAGGACCACCACCACAGTGACATCACCTCTGTTGGTCTCCCCTCCTGCTGCCAGACTCAGTGGCTCCTTCAGATATCATCAGAGCATAAACAATATAGAATAAAAGTTAATGCCCCTATTCGAGAGAGAGACAAGCTCGACAGCAATAATCAGAATGTTCCCCCTCAAAAAATTTCTGACTTCCACAATTAAATGCTACATCATGCAGTGGTTTCTGCTTATATGACAAGACAGTTTTGTAATAAACTACAAATATAAGAACATGTACGTGTAGATACCTTTTTTTGTGCCTAGCTGTTACACCATGTACCACACAGGAGCTAGAGGGAAAATTTTCCTTGGTATGATTTCTCTTTAGGGGGATAGGTTTTTTAGTGAAAAAAACAGAATGGACCGTCTAATAAATTGGTTGTAAGCGCACAGCTCTTAGGAGGGACTGCTGTCCATAACAGGCTTTTTTTGGGGGGTTTTGTTTTTTAAACATCTGTCTACTTAAGCAATTTGTATACAAGTTCCACTAAGTTTCTCGTAGTTTCCCAGTGTGCAAAGTTACCAGAAACAAGTTGCACCCTGATTATTTCTGAACAGTGCTCTGCACGAAAAAGCTTCCTATGAGATGACTGAATTTTTTTTTTTTTTTTTTTTTTTTTTTTTTTACTACTCTTGCCTCCCTTTCTCCCCATCCCCTTCCCTTCCCCTGTTTGTGAACAGTGACTGTCAGAGCACACTTGACTGGTTGGCTGATGACTCTGAAGAAGACGTTTGTGTTGGCACCCAGCTCAGTGCTGCGGATTATCGTCCTCATCGCTAGCCTCATTGTGCTGCCTTACTTAGGGTAAATCATTGTTCTCCACAGAGCTGATGGGTTTGCTTTCCTCTTCGTTCCTATTCCCTGTCATTTGACAGCTGAATTTGCGTAGCTCAGAACGTTTTCCCCAAATACTAACCGTAATATAAAGCCCAAATAGTGTCAATGTCTGGAAAAGAAACATTTACAAGTGTGACTGCTCTAGACAGGCACAATAGTGATGTCCCTTTTGAAAAAATACACAAGTGTCAAAGAGGCAAAAATGTGTCCTAAGGGAATTTATTTCCGTGTTACTGAATGCACTGTTAAGAAAGCTAATGGAAGAATTTCTTGTTCTTAAGTTAAATAATCTATTCTACAGCACTCTGTACAAGACTTCAAAGTCGCAGTCCATAATTTGATTCAGAATGTGGTTCTTTTACTAAACAGTAAAGCTATTAAGAAACAAAAAAGTCCTTTCAAATACCACTTATTCTCTTTACCACTGTATTATGTCTTTGAAGGAAATACTTCTAACAACAGATTGGTTCTATATGCCAGTGAAAATATAATTGAGTCATGCATTCTCACACAACCATGACTACTTTCCTTTTATGCCACCCACAGAGTTCATGGAGCCACTCTTGGAGTAGGATCCCTTCTAGCTGGTTTTATAGGAGAATCCACCATGGTTGCAATAGCAGCCTGTTATGTTTATCGGAAACAGGTAAGAATTAGGCTCTGCAGGATCCGGTGAAAGCAGCTGATGAATATAATGGAATTTAGGTCAGATTAAGACTACACTTTTGAAATGAAACTCCTCAGCATTCCCACTTACTAAATTTGGTTTGCTTTCCCGTGTGTGCTCAAGGGTGTGCAACTTGGGAATTCTTAGGGTTGAAATAAAGCAAAAAGGTGTCCTCCGGCTGCTAGTGGGCATTCAGGCCATGGGATCAGGCTGTGGGACACACTGCTCTCGCTCCTCAAAACATGTTTATCGTGGATATCATGCCCTTATCACCACCTATTTTGCGCTGTAGATCTGCTACTACAGTACAACAGAGCTTCTTTATGTAGACGTAGGAACCACTCATCCAAGCTTACAGTATGTATATGTATACTTTTATTTCTTTATAAAACCAGCTCTGCTGAAAACAGACAAAAGTACAGTTGCTTATTTTTTTTTGCCGTCTAAAGAAGTGGCTTAAAACAAGATACAGATCCTGCAGCAGTAGAGGATAAGAGCTTGCAAATACTGAAACGGGCGAGGATTTCTCACAGGCACACTTTTACATATTTCACACATTACAATCCTACATGTATGGAGGAGTAGTGATACGTGGATTTCAAAGAATATTCCACTAAATGAAGTCAAACACAGGATAAATATTGGCTGGGTGACTGGGGACTTCTCAGTACCTGCCTGCTGTGTCCTCCCAGTTCTGTGTTCAAGGCACTGTGTAGGGCACGAGCTCCAGCTCTGAGCAGAAACAGCGTGGGGTGTCCATCCTTCTGCAGTGCAGAAGGACTCTGTGGATGGGAGTATAAAAAATACAGTCAATGCATTTACCTTTTTTTTTTTTTTTTTTTTAATTAGACTTCTTACTAAGGGCCAAATGAAGATGCCCACCGCTTCTATTTTAGCAAAAAAAAATATGGAAGATGGCGTATCTAAAAGCCTTATGTTGGAACAAACTGAAACCAGTTTCAAGATGTATTAACAGTGCAGGCCGTGGAAATAGACCAAAGTGTACGAGGTTCATGAGAAAACAGAAGACCTTGATCTCTGTCATGATTGGTCTGCCGTATTTTTCCTGAAATCCAGAGTAAAACCTGTAGACACTGAAATGCCTCTTCTTGGCCTGTGGTTTCAGAACACAGATCTGCTTGGACTAACCTCCTCATTGCTTGTTTATTACAGTGGCAGCTTGTAGAGTGTTTCTCACCAGGGACGTGGTGCTTAATTTTTTGCAATGATGAGTGCAGGTAGTAGTAATAATAACGGTGGCAACCTAATTTATTCCTTTACCAGAATTAGTGTGCAGCTGACAGCATCATCTCAACAGCCAGTGTGACAGTGGCAGGGCCAACCACCAGTAGCTTTATACACCAACTTTTTCCCACCTACAGTGGTAATAAGTGGGCAGCATTTAAGAGCTGTAAATCGAGTGTTGTGTAGACACATCTGAAAGTTTGAAACTCTGATATACCCAACTCAGCTGAATCCATAATACCTGTGGGGGATTTTTTTGTCAGCTCCGCAAGTGTTTTCTGTAAAACTAATCAGCCTGCTGAGAAAGGATAACAAGGAACAGATGCTTCAACTTGTTTTGTAGTGGAGCTGAATGCTCCTTGGCTTTACTAATCCAGGACATCCTGGATGAATCATAGGACTGTTGAATGCCCTCCTGCTCCTGCTAGCCAAAAAAGCTCTAATATTACTTGGCCTTGTTGGGGTGGGGGATCACACAGGATCAGCAATACCAAGAAAAGCCAGAATGCTCACATCTTGTAAAATTCCTGAAGTTTGACATTTGAGAAACTAGGTTGCCACCTCTGTCTCCCACCCCCAGAGCAGCTTATTTTCTCTCATACTTTGTTTGCTTTTTTTTTTTTTTTTTTTTTTTTAAATAAAAAGTCTGTGATATAAAAGATTCCAGATGCTCTCTTCCCTCCAGTCATGCTGAAGCCTGTTTTGGATGTTGCTTAGCATAAGAAATGCCTCTATTATTGAATTTATGTTAGAAAGGAGAGAGCTGAGCCCCAGGAAGGTCATGGAAACCTTCTAAGTTAAGCCAAGTTATTAGTGACAAGCCACAAATATGACACAAATATTCTAGATTTTAATAACATGGTCTAAAAAAAAGCATTATTCCCACCTCGCTTCTCCTGGTGCCCGGAGTTTGTAGGACTGTGTTCATGCGCAACTTTTACTGATAGGTTTCTGAATGCTTGTTTCAATCTAGAAAAAGAAGCGGAACGAGAATGAAACAGCCACCGAAGGTGAAGACTCTGCAATGACCGACATGCCTCACACAGAGGAAATGACAGACATCGTAGAAATGAGAGAAGAGAATGAATAATAAATGGGATGCAATTGTTCTCTGCAGGGACGATTGGAGTGACACTTCAGCATCTTGTCGTCTCTCATACGTTTTTGTTTGTTCGTTTTTATTTTTGTAATAAAGAGGCCTTGATTTAAAAGGTTTCAGATAAATTCTCTAGCATACTGAGTATGCTCTCACTGATGAGGGACCTAAAAAGAGGTCTTTGCTTTTTTTTTTTTTTTTTTTTTTTTTTTTTTTCTTTCTTCCCCCCCCAATTGAATTTGTTTTCTCACTCCATGCAAACATAAAAGATACAATTGCATCACTGTAGAGTCTTCCTTACTTATGCATCCACCTTCTCTGGACAATCTGCATTTGTCAACCAAAGCCCTGCTCTCTCTGCGTGCGTGTGTGTGTGTGTGCACATATGCTGGCACGCTCGCACACACACACGTGCCACTGGCTCAATGCTACTGCCATAATCCTACTCCCTCCCCTCTTCCCTTTTCCTTCCTTTTCTTTATGAGAAATGTAAAGGAAAAGAAGTATGGAATACAGAGCTTTATTTTACTTGCTTGAAAATGACTTTGCTACATAAACTAATATACTATGGTGAACTATATCTTTTTGTTTGGCCTCATCACTAGAGCTTATACTGCACAGGGTACAAGACAGGGAGGAATGTGTAAGTCTCCACGTGCAGAGTGGAGAAAAACAGGTTCCTCTCTCATGTTAAAAGTGTGTGGATATGTATATACACACACAGGTACATAAACAGAGACATATATATATATTTTTTTTTATATATATATATGCATATGATAAATGAAATACACACGGGACAAGAACTCTATTTAGCTTTCACTCCATCAGAAAGACAGTAAACTTCTGAAAAACGTAAACATTTAATTCAGAATTTTCTTGAATCGTTAAGCCCCACCTTACATACAATTTTTCTTTAGAAAAAAACCCATGCACTTTCCTCTTGTGAAGAGGGTGATGGCGACTGATAGACTTTGACTGTATTTGAATTAAAAAAAAAAAAGAAAATAAATATTGACAAGCTTTACCAAAGTTCTTGTCCACTGATTTAACTTTAATTTTTAAAGGTTGATTTGCTCCACGTACTTCTTTCTGGTGCCTATATATTTTAAAAAAAAAAAAAAAAAATAATCGGCTAACTAAGGTATGCAGGATACCATGGTATATTGCATCACTACACCTAGCTCCATGAAATTTTTTCTATAGAGATGTACACATAGTCACCCACACACGTCTGTGTATATATATATGCATATATATATATATATATATGTATACACACACGCACGCAGATGTGTATGTTTTGCTGTAATATATTCACCTACGCAGTAGATCAAAATCCTCTGGGCGAAGCTCAGGTGCGGATGGTCCTCCGGGCTGTTAATTAGGGACCGCGGTGGCGCGTCGGCGCTGCAGACAAGTGTTGGGGTCCGGGGGGGGGGGGGGGGGGAGCCGCTCGGCAGGTGCTGTGCTTGGAGCAGTGGGCTTTAACTAGCAGGGCAGGGGGGGGGGAGACTCACGGGGGGGTGGGAATGGAGCCTGTGTGGGAGGTGACGGAGCCAGAGGGGTTTGGGTGGCACCGGGTGGCAGCAGCAGCAGCTGGCACTTCTGTGCTCCTCCGTGCCTGGCTGCGGGGCAGCGTGCCTTACCGGTTCGTAGCGGCTTGGGCGCTTTCAGATTTAATCACGCCAGAGTCTGGAAACAATTATCCTCCATGGTATAGCCGCGAATCGGTTAATTCGAAGCTTATTTAGTAAAAGCGTGGTTTTTCGAAGTTGTGAAAAGGATTGTTTGATGGTGGACAAATTCCCTTTCCAGATGGATTTGCCAGGTCGTCCCAGCACTCAGAGAACTGATCAAAGCTAAACATTACTTTCAATGTTTTAAATCAATATATGTGTATGTAGACATACACGTGTATAAATATATATATATTGTATATTATGTACATTTACTTTAAGCTGCAATACATTTCCTATTTTTCCACGTTGGGCTAAAAATGTCTCTGAAAAACTACAGAGTTGGCTAGTAACCCGTTATGGCCATCACGAAAGGCATTGTATCAATGAACTTTACATTTTATTGTAACCATTTGTACCAATTTGTTACAGGTACAAATGCAATAAGAAAAAATGTAGAAATTATTGTGTCGAATGGCAGATTTGCAAAATCAGCTCATGGTTAATGAGCAGTGGCATTAGGAGGGAAAGACTAAACCCAGTAACCACACATTTTCTGTGCCACCACAAGGTTGTTCTTGGTTCTGACAGTAGTTTTAAAAAAAAAAAAGATGTAAAAAAACCCCCACCCTCAGACGAATTAACTTGGAGCAGTATGTAGACTGTACACATTCATGCATACAGACTCTCAGTCAGTCAGATGTATATAACGTGTATATAGACTGTTACAGATCACAGTGGCCATTTGAGGTCTTCTCTGTTCATGTAGTTTTGGTTTCTCCAGTATGTTTGTATCTAAGTCCACAAGAGGCGTTTTTTCAGGAACTGTAGAGATAAAGGAAGAAAATATTTTTGTGTAATATTTCTTTTGGTACGCAACTCAAATTCAAGCGGCAGTATTTTGGGAGAATTTTGAGCATTACCGATGTAGGTTTCAAGGTAATAATTGCACCAAGAAGTTAAAATTTGAAAACAAATTAAATGAAACACCGAAGCTTTTGATTTAGATAGAAGATGAACAAATATTAAAAAAAAAAAAAAAAAAATTTGTTGGTCATACCGAGCTAAAGGAATGGTATTGTAAAAGGTAAATATTCCGTTGCGTGGGTGGTAATACCTAATAATCCCTTCTTTTGCAAGATAGCGGATGAGCGCAGGAGCGGCGGGATTTGGGATTTGGGCCAGAATTCCCGCAGTGACCTGAGGACCACGCTCCTTCCCGCAGGCCGTGCCATTTCTTCGCCTTGCTCTGCTGGGTGAACAAAACGCGCCGGCGCTTCTGCACCGGGCGAGCGCTCAGCCAGCCCCCGGTGCCGGCCCTGGGTCCCCGCTGTGGGGGCAGGCTGGGGGGGCCCCCCCCGGTGTGTGTCCAACCCCCCCCCCCCCCAGCAGCCGCTGGCTTCTGCGCCTGGGAACTGTTCTGGGGAGCTTCAGCGGCCCCCCCAAAACCTCGCTGCTCTGCCTCCCCGGCGGCGGCGAAGAGCCGGGAGCGGGCGGCCGCCCTCGGCTGAAGCCCCAGTCGGCGTTACTGGGTCCAGCGTCTCCGTCGGGCAGGTGCTGGTGCCCGCCCTGTCCTGCACCTCTTCCTTCCCAAGAGGATTTTTTTTTTTTTTTTAATGTTCTAACACCACGGCTTAGTTGTCTCTCTTGCGCTACTGCTTATGGAGTGGCTGTCTTCCCTCTGCGAAAAGTATTTTGCAATAGAAACCTGTGAAGTTTCCGTGTCGGAGAGCGGCAGTACGCCCCGTGAATTCATGCGGAGGCTTGGCCTTTCCTGACGTTCTTGCGAATTGCTGAATTACACAATCAAAGTAAGAGGAAAAAAGCTGATCTGCATCCTACGTCTGAAATTTCAGAACGGCTCACACAGTGCGAAATAAAAGCAGAGCGCTGATAAGCTGTGAATTAATGTTCCTCAGCTTTTAATACATATGTAAAATTGTGTCAACTTGTCCCGAGTTTCCCTTCTGCAGAATTAACAGGAAACTTTGGGGGGATTTTCCGCTCCCCCCCCCCCCTAGCCTGAGCAGGCCTCTCACGCTTAACCAAGCAGTGGACTTGATGGAAAAAAAGAAAAAAGCTCTGCGCTTCCCAGCCGGTGCTCGAGACCATTTGGGCGCAGCTCAAACGCTCCCCGTCCCCCCGTCCCAGCCCTGCCGGGCAGGAGCGCGCCGGTGCCTGCTCGTTAGATAGAGCCCCCCCCCCCCGAGTGAGAGCATTGGGTGAGTAACAGAGAAGTCTTTTGTCTTCTACTCGTTTCGCTGCTAAATATTTCCTTGGAGAGGGTGGGGGGAAGGTTTATATCTGGCTCTTGCTCCGGTGTTTTGCCGAATCTGCAGCCAGAGCGGGAGGGCGAGCCGATGAATGCAGCCGATTCAGGGCAGGCCGCGACGCGCGAACGGGAGCCTTTGGAAGGCGGGAGCGCCCTTCTGTTGTGGGTTGGCGCCTGGCGCTTGAAAAGAAAGGAGGGAAAAGCTGCTTTCAGGCAGGAGGGCTTTGCGTTGGGCTGCAAGGTGGCAGCGACAGGAGCGGCGTGTCCTGCGGCTCCAGCATCCCCCGGCAAAATGCAGGACAGCGCTGGGGGGGTGTGGGTGTGAGGGCCGAGGGGGCAGTGATGGCTCTGTCTCTCCCTGAGATTTCGTGGTCGTGGCACCATCGTTGGTGCACGGATTTGGGCGCAGCTGGGTGTTACCTGAGCACAGTTGCAGTAGCCATTAGTGTATTGGAAAGAGCTATGTATAGGGGGGGGGGGGGGGGAAAGAGTGCTGAGTCGGCATTTTTATTGCAGACTTTATATAGTTCATTGGAACAAGGATTCAAGTCTAGACGCGACCGTAATGTGGGACTAATACTAAGCCATTTTAAAAAGTTGCAGTTTAAAGCTCCATAAAAGAGTAAATAAAGCACCCTTTCAGCAGACCTGACACCGCTAAGCTGAAGCATGATTTAGATCGGTAAGCTGGAATGGGAGAGGACGCGTCGAAAAGCTCTGGGGCGTTGTATATCCATCCTAAAAACGACGGCATGGCGGGGAGATGAGTGAATCAGAGGGCAGAAAACAGCCGTGGCTGCTGCTGCCATTTCCCTTTCAGCTGCCCTGGGGAGGGCCTGAAGGGTGAGGAGCAATGCGTCTGTAAGACACCGCTTCTAAGTATTTTGGTTTCCGAGTGGAGGAGCCATCGGAGAGAGGAGTAGGAAACATCTTAGAAGATTGTTCAAGCATACATAAACCAGCAAGTAGGTTTTATAACACGTGGAGAGAAGTCACCACATAGCCTGCTGTTTCTGAGTAAGTGTCAGGGCTGCATCAGGGAAACGTCGCATAAACATTACCTAAACTCAGGACAAAATTATCAAAATTCTGCTATCAAATTGGCATTTCCCAAATACCAACTTAACCATAAAACGTTAGGATTCCCTTCCCTCATTCATGTTTGCTTTTTTACTAGAATTCAAGTGCGGAATACCGTATTTTTTTGGAGGGAGCAAGCTCCTGCAGAGGGGGGGGCTGCAGTGCAGAGCAGGCCGTGGAGGCTCATGGCAGATCCCTGACCCGGCAGGGAGAAGGGCTCCAAATTTATTCTGCACCCTGCAACACAACACGCTGTATTTAATTGCAGCCCGACAGCGTCATGAACCGAGGCAGAACTGTCAGCTTAGCAGCAAACTCAATCCAAGCGTGGTCCTGACCTGCAGCAGCACTGCAGAGCCGGGGGGGGGGAGGCTTTCTGCTCGCCTAGATTTGCTTTGGAGAGCCAAGTTCCGTTCTCAGCGCGTAGATGCACTCCTCAGCAAAACCGCTGCCAGACTTCTCAGTAATGGGCACCTTCGGAACAAAAAGGCAAAAGACAAAATACGGGGGCAAAGAGATCAAGCTTTAAGCTTGGCTTGGAGCGCATAC